GCAGCAAATGTTGTGGGTTCTGCCTCAGCGTCTCTGGCACTAATGTCACGAAAGCATCAACAACAACACCAGCAGCAGCAACAACAACAGCAACAGCTGCAAACGATCAGCAACAGCAATAAACGCAAAATTAGTCTAAGCAACGCGTCCAGCAACGGCAACAACAAGAACTGCATTTTTTTGCCCATTTCACCAAACATCAATAGCAGTAATAACAGCAACAGCAACAGCAAAGTTCCAGCAGATGCTGCATCAAGCCAAGCACTAGCAGCAACACCTTCAGCTGCAACAGCAACAGCAGCAGTTGCAACAACTGGTAAATCGACCACGCAGAACTGCTTCGCCAGTCCGGGCCTATCGTGCATGCGTCAGCGTTCCAGCCTGTTGACCAAACAGCAATCGCTTGACTTTGACAATAACAACGGCAATGGGGATCCCATGATTGGTGCGCATAGACGTAGACGCAGTTACGTTTACAGCTATCCCAGCAGCAGTTCTGCCTCGGCGCCGCCCAGTCCCTCGTTGCTACAGCAGTGCATGGGCGTCAATTGGTCGTTTATGAGCGGCACTGGGAGCAGCAATAGCAACCAGTTCAACGAGAATAACGTCAACGATAACAACAGCAATGTGGAACTGCTGGTTAATCAAAATTCAATGGATTTGGAAACAAGTCTGGCGCTAAGCGGCGCAAATATGGAGCTAAACGAAACGCAACGATCGCAATCGGTGCCGTTGTCTCAGCTGCAACGCAGCAGTAACCACTCTCCCTCGACGGGCTACAACCGCTTGCTGAACCAGGCCGTCACCACTAGCGTAGTAAAAGATGCGCTCTTCTCGGAAAACAGCAACAGCCAGCAGTCGGTCGGCACATTGAAGCTAGGCGGCGGCGATGTGGATGTGTCGGCAGGTCTGCTCTACGATGATGTGGATGTCGGTGCGCTTATTTCACCAAGCTTCAATAACAAGTTTAACGGCATACAAACAACAACCACATGCAGCTCGTCGGCCGGGTCTTCGAGCGGCTACAGCAGTGCCGGCAGTGCAGGCGGAATAGTGTCTCGCTCTGTACCCTCCACACCGCTGCCGCATCAGCAGTCGCAGTTGCAGAACTGCAACAGTGGCCTGAGCACCGCCAATGGAAACGCCAATACGGCCAGTGGCTTTTTCAACATCTCACCAGCCTTTAATTGGGGCGCCAACAATGTGGGATATGGTGGACAGTCGTACAGTGCACGCAATCCTTTGGATATTTCCAAATCGATGCCAACAACGCCCATAACGACGCCTTGTTTCCGCTATAGCCCTGTCGAGCTGCATCGCGACTTCTTGATCAACGGCAATACCATTGACAGTCTGTCGTCGCCAGCTGTGACAGCTTTTAATAGCGCCACAGATGTCGTCTTGGCGCTCAGCAACGATACGCTGATTGACGACGGGGCACCCAATAACAGCGATGTTGAGGCCATAATTGGCGCCGTCGATATACTCGACAGCTTGTAGAATTTGCCCGAAGAGAAAGCTCAATCACAGACGGAGATTGCGAGCGAGACGCAGCCAGAGGAGCTGGTTATGGCCTGTTTGCTACAGCATGTGGATAAGCTGTAAGTGTCTCTCACTCCCACTCACGAATTTTCTCTGGCACCAGAAATTTCGAATCACAATTCGGATAGAAGAACATAACATAGTCTGTATTGTGTTTAACGTAATTCTGTTGTGTTTATCTTAAGTAATTGTATCATATTTAATGTGCCCTAACATGAGCTTTCTCTTCGCAATTCGCTAGCGGACGACCACAAAAACACAAAGAAATTTATTAAGCTAAGCTCCAATTGGTTTCACGTATATCCAATAAGCAATTTGTGTAAATTGGAATGTCAACGTATTTGTTTTTGTATGTCATTGGAACCCTCCTGAACCAAGTATCCCTCAGGCCATTGTTATCTGTATGTGCGTGCATATACACTTGTTTGTTTGTGTATGTAGTATCTATAATAATATATGTCTCTGCTGTATATCAGGCATATTATTGTTATAAAATGGAACTCAGCTGATAAATGTTGACAATTTTCCACAGTTGATTACTTTATTTTTAGATGATCCAATGACCCTTGATTTAGAAGCAAAACTGTAAACATAAACGATTAAAGATACAAAAGTACTAGAGTAGAGAACCTTACAAATGAAACGAACTTAAAGTCTGAATGAATTCGACGTGCAGCGGTTTTAAAGAAGAATATTTATATACACATAGCTGATAAAAGATTGTAACATTTTAAATGCCCCTATCAGGGGCTGAGGTGGTTTACCTATTCCGAGAAGAGCTGAAACTGAACATACAGAATAAATAGTTCTAAGCTACCAAAAGTTGAGGGCCCGAACCAACGATAAGCGTTCAACAATAATTATCAATTTTCAATATCTAAGTGTGTGTCTGAAATTACGTAACGTAACGTGGTGTATTTGTTATCAAATCAATTTATAATTTAAACTGTCTAATCAGAAAACGTTGCTAGCTTAAGCATACGTCTTAAATTGGTCGACCTTCTTTCGATTTTATTAACAGTCTATGTATTAAGTACTATGTAATTTCTATTTTCTATTCAATTAAATTGTTATATTTTCTACCCTATCGCTAGACCATTTTAAGTGGTCGTTGACTAGCATTAAGTGTTTGTTTGTTATTGAAAGTGTTTTGTTTGGAATGATAATGCATAATGTGAGCAGTGACTCCTATTATAGCTAATTCGATAGATTTAATTTTATATGTAATTCCCGGTCTATTATCTATAAATTTAGTGTTACTAAAACCAATCCAATTCCTAATTCGTATGTTTATTCATCTATTCTTTGGGTTTCTACGGCTTTGAACAAAGTTTAACTTTAAGATTTCACTTATATATATCACAAATTCTTTACTCTGCTAAATATTAACGTTAGTTTGTTTGTAAAACAAAGTAAAAATTTTAAATACACACATCCAATGAGAAATGCTTTCTTTAAATTTCAATTGTAAAAATTAAAGATAACAAAAAAATTTTACAATTTGTCATAAATGTGCCTCAGGCTTTATTGTAAAAGAATTATATTCTTGCATATAAATTATATACACAAATAAAGAGGAAAGTAAGCAGCGTATACATATACACATATATATATACATAAGTACATATATATATACATATATGAAAATATACACTCATTTACAAAATGCAGGTAGAGCTAGGAAAACAATGAATTTGTCAAAGACCTCAGATTCAGCCAAGAATAAAAATAGTCAGCAAAAATGATCCATTCAGCATATGTATACAAATTCCCATGAATACAACCGTTAGCACAGTCAGCTTAATTCTAAACTAAATCAATATCTCGCACATATATCTGTGTGCATCAGATTAAAACAATCGAAGCTAAGAAACTGGATATGCAGGTCCCCTATCCCAACTGCTACCGCTTTAACATAAATAGAAATAGCCCGTAAGCAATATGAGTACGAGTGCATATACATTTATAAGTCTTTCACCGGGAACACTTTGATAAACAAACCGACAACGATTATACATACTTACATACAATAGTTACATATAGATAACAAAAATATAAACGAACCAAATTGTACTTTTTATAAAATATTTGAAATAGAATGCAGAAAAAAATAATACAAAGAACAAAACAAATAAAGTCAATAAAAGACCTATGGAACAAGCAAATAATTGTGATTTCTTTCACTTGAGGTTGGAATTGGGAATTGGAAATTGGGTCGCAAACTAGTATTAATAAAAATGTTTCAATTAATGATAAATGAATATATGAAATTGCTCGCGTTGTAGTTTATTTCAATAACCAGAAATTTCAGAGAATTAATGAACTTGACATAATGAATCGCTACAAATGTAAGTAAAGACTGGAAGCTGGATCAAATGTGTCATATGTGACTGCCCTGCCCATTTTCTTCATCTTTGATATGTTTCCTATGATTGATCTAATTCTCTTTTGTTTTACAAAACTGATGTAAGGTTTTTCTGATAGCTCTGTGGACAAATAAATTTTTCCGGACAGAGAATTCAAATAAATGAATTCATTTTTATTTTTCTAATTAGGAGTCCCAACTTGTGCGCTAATATCTGCGTATTAATTGTGTTAAATTTTAAAATACTTGAATTTTATAGGCATTTTTTTTATAATAACTTAATTTTCATATTTTTCGCAGATCTACTTTATTTTTAAGTGAAGTAAATTATTTAACCCAGATATTAATTGAAATTCAAAATATTTCTTCGATTCATATCTCATGTGTAGATAATATTTATATTCATTAAAAAGACGAGAACTTTTGTAATTTTGTTATTATTTTTTCTTTTATTAAACTGTTAAGTTTAAAATAATAATATTAATATGCAATAAATATTTGTTTGTTTTTTTAATATAATAATATACATAATAATACCGTTAAATTTAATATGCTTGTGTGCTTGATTATTTTTAAATATTTTCATTCATTTCTTGTTGTTATTAATTAGTTGCGTTTGCTTACTTTTCAGTATAATACTTGTATGTTAATTTTTTTATGTAAATTTAACTATATAGTTTTATATGCATTTTACATTACAATTAAATAGCGCCAAATAATATTCCATTTGCTACAACTGTTCTTTTCCATGTTGTCGGGGCTACCATTAATAGTTTATAAAATTATTGTTGTGTGCAATTAGTTTTATGTTTGGTTTGTTTTTTGTTTTTATTAGCCCTTCGACTTTGTATATGACAATAAATATAAGTAAAATATGTATACGTATAAAAATCATTTATGCGCCATTATCTCCATACTTGTTCTCCTTTATTAATGCCACTTGTACACTACGCTAATAGCACATTTTGAAAATTCAATTAAATTGCTAATTATTTTATATTTATTTATTTGTTTATTATAATTAATGTTTTGCAGTTGCTGTTGCCCTTAAAACTATTTGTTAAATATGGTTTACGTATATATTTTATATATGTTTGTTACTAAATATTTATTATTATTATTATTATTATTATTTGTTAAATGCTTGTAAATTATGTTATTCTGCTTGTTTACTCTTCAATTTGTTTCCTGATATTTGACTTGCGTGTTTTTTCAATTTATTATCGAACCGATGCCGTTCGCTGTTTCCCTTTTGACTTTCAGATCTCCCAATGAAACTGCGTAACGGTATGGCCACACATACATACATACATATATGCCATATGTATGCATAAATATACATATAATTATACAATATATATGTGTTGTATATGCTGCTAATGCTATGCTAATTATGTATGTATATAATATATATAAAATTGTTGTTATTTCGCTGAGGTGGAAAATTCTTTAATTAATAAGGTTACTTGTTGTTGGTGTTGTTGTTGTTCTTGTTGTTATCCTGCTGCCTGAATATTGCTATTGCGATTGTTACGCTACATCAGTTGCGTTCGTTCCATTATTATTTTAGAATATAGTAAAGTATCGTCTTGTTTATTTTGAGCAAGGCGGATGCAGACCCGCCCTCCCCTGTGTTCACTTAAAAAACTTTTATTTATGTATATTTTATATATATTCGTGTAAATGTTTTTGCTAAGCGCACTGAAAATTAATTATTAAATGCAACAACAAAATATTCAATGTGCATCTGTCCCGTGATTTGCATTTTAAGCTCTATTTTATTAGAAGCTTTCACTGCAGTTTGAATATTTAATGATTGGTAGTTGCATATATCTAATTTGTAATACGATTTTGGAAGCGACGCTGACGACTTGCGAACACGAACGGATCGAATTTTCAGAATTTGTTGGTCCCAAAACGAAAATTTTGAACTGAACTCAACTGAACGGAACAACTTCTATATGTGTCACATAAGATGGAGATTAAAAGAAAGACGTCCACAGATTAGTTTGTAATTAGTTTAAAAATTTATTTAAAAATCATAAAAAAACACACAGAAATCCAATGTAAAGGACAAAACACACAACTTAAAACAAACACAAATAAATCTATTAAACAATACAAAATAAGATAAAATTTGTTTAGGTCTAATAATCATAATCGTAATAATGGTAATAAGTATAAGGTTGGTGATAATGAAGTCAGTAACATTGTTGATCAGTAATTGTTGGGGTCTGTTGTTGCGGTCGTTTGGTGCCTTAAGAGCTAACACACAAGTTCAGTTAAAAATATGCTACACTAATCTAATTACAATCAGTGAAAATCAAATATACACACATAATAGAAAATGAAACAAGGCAAAAAGCGCTGCTATACAATAAGTTAACTACAAACACAATTCATTTAGTTACAGATTACAAATCTAAATTAGCTCGATTCGAATCGATTAAAACATGATTTTGACAAAAATAAAATTAAGCATAAAGCAAAATAGACAATTATTCATTATTTTCATTTGTTGCGCATGTGGCCGCGGATCGATTGATTTTCCCAGTGGAAAATCTCTCTACTATTGCCCATTTTCTTCCTACTATACTCGTCACTCTGTTCAGCAATTTAACTAAATTAATTTACATTAATTAATTACTCGACGTGGTGGCATTCGCCGTCGGCTCGCCCGTGTTGCTGCGACTGTCGAGCGACCAGTCCCAGTCCTTGCCCTTAGGCCGAAACTTTGAGGACTTGTGATGGTGATGATAGCTGGCATTTGCATTAACATTAACATTGGCATTTGCATTGGCGCCATGATGGGGCGATGATTTCTCTTTTGGCGATTTGCCCGATTTGCTCAGCACAGCTGGCGGCGTTGCTGCCACCATGCCGGATGCGTCCAGTGCAGTCGGCGGTCCATTGCCTGCCGCATCGGCGGCCGTGGGCGGCGCACTGGAGTTGGAGTAAGCCAGCAGCTCGTCGCAGTCATACTCCCAGTTCCGCTCGCAGAACTTTTTCTTGTAGTGCTTCTCGGATCCTCCCTTGAACTTGCGCTGGTATTTAAGCGGTATGCGCAGATCGTTGACCAGCGACGGTGCATGCACAGGTGGGGGCGTGGCCACGCTTGCCGCACTGGGACTGGGTGTACGTGGCAGACCAACGTCGGAGAGTGGCGGCGACTCGATTGCGCTCGGATCTACCGGCGAAATGGTCTTCAATGAGCTGCTTGCGTGCAAGGATGAGGATGCAGTCGACTTCATGCTGCTGTCGCTCAAGTGGTCTGCCAAGTGTTGCTGCTGTTGATGTTGTTGCTGTGGCTGCTGTTGCTGCGGCTGCTGTTGTTGCTGCAACTGCTGTTGCATTGGCTGCTGCAGCGGCTGGTGACCATGCTGATACGGATGATGGCTCAGATTGTGCACCTGGCTAGCGTAGAGGCTGCTGTTGGTGCTGCTGCTGCTGCCGCTGCTGCTGTTGTTGATGGGCAACTCTAGCTGTGATGAGCTCGACGAGGTGGACAAAAAGGTGCGCACTGCGTCCGAATTGCTGCTGCTGTGCGTGATGCCCGAGTCGGGCGAGGTGTTGCAACTGATCGAAGCGGGCACCGTGTCGCCGTCAATGGAACGGCGCGTCTTGTCCAGCTCGGTGCTGGCAAAGGCCACCAGCCGGTCAAAGCCGGAGCTGACGCGATGCTGCCAATGGGATTCCTCGTCGGCCGCAATGACATCGTCTGTCATGGAAAAACATAAGAGATAGATTAGATATAATGCACACTATAAAGTCGATTGAGTGAAGGGAGCAACAGCTGCAGGTGCCGGAACTGCCGGCTGCTCTTTATGCTGCTGCTCTTCGTGGTGTGTGTATGTGTGTGTGTGTGTGTGTTGGTATATTGGGTGTGGGTGAGTGCTAGACTGTGTGAAATCGATAACATTGGAGATGACGATTAACGATAACGATTAAGCGACGAGTAGCTAAGCCCTGAACATTTCATAAAGTTGGCTCAAATCAATGCAAAATGATGTCTGCATATGGAGTTGGGCTTGCGGCCTGTGCGTGTGTGTGTGCGGTTGTATGAATATTAAGATTAGAGCGTTACAAAAGATAAGGAAAATCATAAATCAAATCAAATCAAAAATAAAAAATTTAATGAAATTAATAAACTAAAAAAATTAATGAGAGTAATTAACCAATTAGGCACAACAGAACTTACCTCATGCTCATGTTTTAATTTTATATATGTGTATATAACAAATTATACTAGATAAATTTGTTTTTAATTCGGTTAGATTAAATTATTGAACGTAAAATAAATTATGGTTTGTCTTTTTATAGTTTTTTCTTTTTTTTTTTTTTATAAGTATATAAGCTGTGTTTTTATTTTGTACTCTGCTTCGCAACAACAACACAATACGTTTTACGTTTTGGCATTTTGTAGGGATTGTTCGTCTTGATTTTATTATTATTTTTTTTTTAATTAGTCTTCAGTATTTTTTTTTTCATGTACTTTTGGGGTTTTTGGCTTTTTGCAAATTTGGAGGTATTCAATGGTTGTTATTATTACTGTTACTACTACTATCGGCCACAACAAATCCATTAAAATTGGTAGCTGTTTGTTTCGTGGCACCAGACATAGTCGAAGTCGGTGTGCGAAGTCGACGTCTGGGATCGTAATTAGTTATAGAACGATGCGTTGCCGAATCGGTAACTGTATGGGAGTAGAGCATAATAGAAGGGATATAAAGACGAGTTTTGGATAAGTAACGGGGCGCTTAGTTGTTTATGTTGTTTTTATTTTAATAAATTTTGTCCATTGTTCGATAAATATTTTTTTTTTTAGTAATTATTTGAAAATTAATTATGCAAAAATAACATTCCAGAAGAGATTGTTAATATCCAGGTAACAAAAATTACTTCAAGTTGAATTATGTATGTTTCTTTTTTACAAAGAGCTGTTTGTGTATGTATGTATGCGTGTCTCATGTGTAAATTAATTTTGTTGCTTTTTATGAATTTAATGATATATTTGGCATGACGCGAATAACTGAATGAGAATTAGCGTTGAATGTTGCATGTTTACAGCATTTGTTCGTTTATGTTTATTATTTGATTATATTTTATGTAAGTGTTGTAAGAGTGTTAATAACTTGTTTACAATGACAGCATCGTGTCAATGGATCGGAGACTATCAACTGTTGCATTTGTGATAAGCGCGTATAGTATCTTTACATATTTATATATAAACCAAAATATATATATATATATGTATATATATACGTTTAAAATCTTTTAAAAATGTATTTGACTTCCTTTTTGCTAAGTCTATCAATTTTTAATATTTTCTCATTTATTGTAAACAACATATTTGTTTTATTATTAGTTGATCTAAAACAGCATGATTATTTTATTCAAAATTTAACAGCGATAATACAATAAATCGTTTATATGATTTCTTCAGAATATAATATTATTTATATTATTCTAGGATCTTTTGGAAGATCTTGTTTCTTGTTAGGGAATGCAACTTGTTTATGAACGCGCATTTCTCTTTATATTTTTTTATATTTTACTTTTGACTTCAGATCAAAATACGCTTATATGATTTCCGTTATCCGTTAAGCAATATATGTCGACTATTTGATTTATTATTTGCATGTTAGTTAAGGGAAAGCATTAAATTTAGATGCAGGTAGGAATTAAAAGGTCAAACTACAAAATAAAAGTGCAAAAAATGTTAAAATATTGAGGATTGTGAGAGGGAAACAGAGCAAACTACGGACAACACACAACATGGATAAAATAAAATCATTTCAACTTAAAATCTTGAAGCATGACCGAAAGTATTTTGGTTTTTGTTTATATATTTACAAATAATTATATTAATTAAAAAAATGCAATATGTATAAATTGTATAAAATGTGTAAAATGTATAAAATATGCGTGTGGATCAAGCGATGGAATTGAATTTAACTAGTGGTGCTTGAGCTGGCAGTGGAGCTCGAGGATGAGACGCTGTCAGTGTCAGAGTCGTCATCCTTTGACGAAACGGAGACGTTTGACCGTCTGCTCGTAATGGTAAGATCTTGTGCCACCACTTGGGTGGCGAGTCGGGTTTGATAGTGGTGCAATTGATGGTATTGTACATGTGCTGGTGGTGCGTGTGGTGCATGTAATTCGCGTGTGTGTGATGATGTGGCTATGTCTTGGTCTTGGTATACAAATGGCTTACCGTCATCACCGGCATTGGAGCGCTGGCCGCCCACAATGGTGGGCGTGATGCTGTGACTGGTCTGATGCAAGGCACGCAACTGCTGCTGGGCATGCTGATGTGGCTTCTGCTGGTGGTGGTGCAGCTGCTGATGGTTCGTCGATAGCTGCAGCGGCCGCTCATCGCCCATGAGTGAATTAATCTCGGGACTCATCAGCAGCGGCGGCTCCACAAGCAGCTTGCTGCGTCTGCCACACGACGACGATGAAGACGACGGCGTCGGAGACGGCGTGGTGGCATCATGCGCAGGCGGCGGCAGCGCTGACCCACCGTTGCTATTCACATACAGATGTTGATGGGCATGGGCAGGCGGCTGCTGTTCGAAATGCGCCAATTTGGCAGGTCGCGAGGGCTGCTGATGTGAGGCCAAGGGCGAGCTTCTCTTTACGCCCACTATAAATAAAAAAAGAGAATATTAATTAACTGTTGAATAAGAGATGCATGGCTTAATATAGCTTACGCTCCACTTTGTGTGGGGTGCCATTGATAGCGCCGGCAGCTGGATGATGATGATAGCTATGAGCGGGCGGCGCCTGATGCGCGAAATGCGGCGCCAATTCCAATGCGGATGAAGTTGCTGCAGCAGCTCGCCGTTGTCGCTCCTCGTTCTCCTCCTTGTATTTGCGTGCTCGCACATGATCCTGCAGCGAGGCGGCCAGTCCTGTAAACAATTTACAACGATTATTAGCAATGCGAATAAAACAAAGTTTTCATATTGTGGCGCCATCTCAGAAACAGATTCGCTCTAAGAGTCGAATCACTCTATATCCAACTAACTAAGATGCCGCCACAATGAATATGTGCTTAAGGATCAAACAATGTAATGCGAAAATCTGCTCATCAATTCATCGATTCATCATCGTTGCACTATGTATAATCTAGGTAGTTAGAGTACTTCTGATACATATGGATGACATCATTTGGAGTCTTCTTTCTAAAGCTTTAGATTTGTACATAAATAATGGGTATTTTGTATTATTTTTCAATGTTTACATATTCGAATATAATGAGAAGTATAAAATTCACTCTGTATTTGTTTGAAACGTTAATTATGATAACGTTCAGCACCATCACGAATTTGCCTTCAATGAGATCGTCAGCTTTCTCTCTCTCAGACAACAGCTGTCTTCACCTTTTCTATGCAAATCTTATCGGAATTCAGCTTGCCATCATTAATTATGTTGTTAATAAAATGATTAATTGAATTTCCATTATTGATTTAGTTTAAGTTCATAATATAATTTGGTAAAATCTTATTCAAGTTCTTTTAAATGCTTCTCTGAAAACTTGACTCAGTTCATCTCTTGATAAATATATATAGACTTAGGATTCGTTTAAAATATATGTTCTCATACAATTCAACATCTCATTCCACTTTCATTATTGAATAATTCAAGAACTACAACAGCATACAAATTTTCAAATATTTCCTTATTTGCATGTCGAGCTTTGCTCAGCGATAAGTTAAGTTAGGGTATTTCCAGTTCCAGTTCCCACTTACCTTCTAAAGGTGGGTTAGCACCGTTTAGGCGTGGTGCGCGCAACGTGCTGGCACCGCCGACTGTTCCTTTGGACTTCTGATGCTGTTGCTGCTGCTGATGTTGCTGCTGTTGATGCTGCTGCTGTTGATGCTGCTGCTGTTGATGCTGCTGCTGCTCCTCGTGAAAGTAAGCCTCAATACAGCCCATCATTTCGGCTCGCGGCAATGCTACCGACTGATAATCGCGTCCCGTGCGTCCTGTCGAGGCGCTCCTTGCTCCCGGCTGAGGCTTGTGGGCGTAGGCAACGTGCGCCAGGGTGGCCAGGTTGCTGCTGCTACTGGATGCCGCCTGGCTGTAGTTGGCCGGCTGCGGCTCTGGCGCATCTTCGTTGAGGGGTCGAACGTGCACACGCTCCGGCCGTTGGGCATTCAGATTGATGAGCAGCCGTTCGTTGGTGCGCTCGGCAAGGAAAGCGCGCTCCATGAAGTGAGCAGCGCTGCTGTTGCTGCCGTTGCCAGTGCTCATGTTGACCGCCGCATTGATGATGCTCTGATGTGAGATCTCCAGTGTTCGCTCAATTTCGCCAGTGACCAGATCCCCGATGGTCTTCCCCGATGTCACTGGAGGCGCCAGTGCCATGGGCGGTGGTGTGGGCAACGCCTGCGGCGGCTGGCTGAGTTTTTCCTGCGAGAGATGCCGACGCAGAGCCATCTTCGCTGGCGACACCTGCGTGTAGTCCGGTTGCGAGCTGTTGGAGCTAGGTCGGCTCGGGGGTCGAACGGTTAGCCGTTCCACACGATAGCCAGCATAGTCCGAGTTTGCGGAACTCGCCCGTGGCAATAGCTCCTGGTTGTGCTGCTGCGACTGTTGGTGTTGCTGCTGCAGCTGTTGTTGCTGTTGTTGTTGCTGCTGCTCTGCCAGTTGCTCACGACTACCTGAACGCTGCAGCAGATTCTCGGCTGGCGCCTTGAACTCTGCTGAGGTGCCCGGTCCCTGATGGTGATGATGTAGGTGACCCAGTTGTGCATGATGTGCGAGTTGATGTTGATGTTGCTGCTGCTGCTGCAAGTGTTGCTGCTGTTGTTGTTGCTGCTGCTGTTGCTGCTGCTGTTGCTGCTGCTGCAGTCGCTGCTGTGCCACATGCGCCAGCATAAGCGCATGTTGCTGTTGCTGCTGCTGCTGCGCCATAAAGTGCTCGTAGCTGTTGGCGCTAACCGAGGCACGTCGTCGATGAAAGCCCAGATCGGCGGACGTGGGCGGCGCTGCGGTCGAGACGCCGTGGCTAGCGTAGAGCGTTGCCATATGCGCCGACGATGCCGCTGACGATGACGGCGGCGGTGGTGGTGGCGGCGGCGGTGCTGATGCACCTGGTCTTGCCGGCGAGTACTTGGACTCCTTGAGCAAAACCGTTTGCCCATATTTGCTCGACAGCTGCTGCAATTGCTGATGCTGCTGCTGGTGCTGGTGCTGTTGCTGCTGGTGATGTTGCTGCTGGTGATGTTGCTGCTGCGGCTTGCTGCTCATGTAGGCGCTGCCATAGGGCAAATTGGCAGGCGGCGGCGGCGCCGTGGACGCAGCAGCTGCTGCCCGCGGTCCCGGCAAAGGTGGAGTTATCGGCGATATCGTCGTGTTCGCATTCAGGTGCATCAGACCTTGCGTCGAGACTGTGATAATATTGTGCAAATTGTTGGCGCTGGAAGCTTGGCCCATTTGCTTGCTGCGCTTCGACGCGGGCGACTGCAGCGGCGCTGGCGGCGCCTCAATGATGGGCATCGCTTTGCTGCGCTGCTCCTGATCCTCGTTGAGCGCTGATGTGATGATGCTCTTCAGCCTGTCCTCGAAATTGGCCACCTTCGGCGACTCCTGCTTGCGCCCCAGTCCAGGCAGCTCGCACTTGGGCAACAGCACGGCTTGCTGCTGCGTCTGCTGTGGCGCCTGGGACTGCTGCTTGGGCGCCGGCATCAGGGTGCTGTCCTTGTACAGAGCAGGCGAGGTCTTCGGCTCCGCTTTGGGCTTGCCATTCACATAGCTAATGGGGTTGGCGGTGCTGCTGGCACTGCTGGCGCTGACTGCAGCTGGCGGCGGCTGGAATTTGCCCGCCTCCACCTGGCGACAGGTCTCGAGTATCTTTTGGGCCAACACCTCGGGATTGCTCTCCTGTATCTTACCCACCTCCGGCACCTCGGGCCACTCCTGCGAGCGTGCCCGATGCTCGCGGCTGCGACGTGACGCCTTCCCGCTTGCCACCTTGGTGCAATTCGTTTGCGCCGCCGGCGTTGCAGCATTTGTTGGCACGGTGGGGGCGCCACTGGCCAGGCTGATATTGGTGCCCTGGGCCAGCAATGCCGCCGCCGTGCTGCGCTCTTCGGCTGACTTTTGCAGCGAGCTAGTCTCCTGTTCGATGGTGGAGACCTGTGCAACGAGCTTTTTGCGCTGGCTCAGCGTGTTGGCGATTTCCTTCAGCACCAGTTCCTGGGCCGCCGTTTCGGACAGCTCCTGGGGCACTTCGAGCTTGATCTTGCTGTTGCCGCCATTGGTGGTAACGGTGCACAGTTTCTGATATTCGGGCAGATGCTTCAGATGCTTGCTCAGCAGCAATTTCTGTTCGCTCTCATAGACGGTGACCTCGTTGCGCATCTTGCTGACCGCATGCTGCAGATCCTTGTGCCGTCCGACAATCTCCTTGGCCTGCGCTATCAGATCGTTGGGCGAGTTCACGTTTATGCCCAGCTCATTCATGCGCACCTTGAGCAGCGTCACGCTGTCATCGATCAGCACCTTGATCTGCTTGTCCAGCTGGCTGGCTCGATTCTTCAAGCGCGACATCCGCTCCTGTTCCTGGGCAATTTGCTTCTGCACCTGCGGCACATATGTGCTCGAGCGCATCTGCTCAATGATCGCCATATACTGAGAGCGGAACACATCGAGCAGTATCTGCAGCGCGTATGGCGTATCCTGTGGCGCCGCAGGAATGTCCAGTTCACGATGCGACATGTCGCCAGTGAGCAGCGACGTCAGCTGCTGGTCAACTGTGCCCGGTGCGGCGGGCAGCTTCTTTGTCATCGCATCCAACGAGGTGCTCAGCACCGTCTGCTTGTGCAGCACATCCAGGCCGGCGATCTTCAAGCACTTGCGACCGCGTTGTCCCTTCTTCATGCGGCCCTTGCGCCCGGGACCGGCACTGGCTGCGCGCGGCTGATCCTCCTTGCTGCTGGAGTCCTTGCTGGCCGAAGCGGACGTGGCGGATGCAGCAACAGCAGCGACTGCGGCCGCCTCCTCAGCTTCCCGCTGCGCAGCCGCTGCCGATTTGCTGGCAATGGCCGCCTTGCGTGTTAGCTTCTTGCGCTTCTTCAGCGTGGTGACGGCGCGTGGTGCACGTCCCTGGTGGCTATTGCTATTGCTGTTGCTGTTGTTGCTGTTGCTATTGTTGTTCTCCTCGTCATCTGACTGGGAACTCTTGCCCTTAGAGCTGCACCAATCCGACCACACTTTGCGCGTCATTGGCCCATTCGAAGCGGACGTGGTGTTGGTCGCTGTGGTGGTGTTTCCGCAATTTCCATTGTTCACCTCCCCATCCGCATCGCTTTCCGTGCTGCTATCCATATTCAGATTGCGTTGCTGCATCTGTTGCTGATGCGTCTGCTGTTGCTGACCTTGTTGCTGCTGTTGCTGCTGTGCACTTGCCAGCTGTTGGCGCGTCTTGGAGGCGTGCTGTCCACTGCCGTTGCCGTTGCCGTTACCGTTGGAGCCGCTAACATTCGCCGGCGACTGCGACTGATGCCGCTGCTGAGCTGGACCGTTAAAGATCTCCCTCTCTCGCTCGCGCTGCTGTTCCCGTTGCTCCCGCTGCTGGCTATTGTTATTGTGCTGGTTGTTGTTATTGTGATTATTGTTGTGGCCAGTGTTAGCCTCACGTTTGGCGCGATCTCGTGTGGTGCGAACGGTACCTGAAAGAGATTGAAATCCAGATTTTTCAATTAGAAACGTTTGGCACTGAATTTGCAATTCTTTTTATTTATAAAATGAAAAATTCTTGTAATCTCCTATAAATGCTTTCCGTAGATTGATCCACAGGTTTGTAAAATATATAAACTCAAACTTGAAACAGAAAACCTTATCAAATAATTTATTAAATTTTTTTGTATTTTTATTTTTTTAAATAAATGATTTTTGTATTTAATTTAATTAAATAAATATATTCAAATAAATTATTTTGAATCCCTTTTAAAAGGCTGATAAATAAAATCTTCATTTAAATAATTAATATCACATCTAAATTATCAGCACTATGAAATATTAAACATTTACTTAAAGAGTAAACCATCATAAAATTTTGTTCTATTTTTTATATTCATATACCATATTAATTACCTAATAACCAAAGCACATGCAATCTTAGACTATTAATAATTTCAAAGTTCCTTAAACTCAATACTCTTTTGCCTGTAGCCTTTCATATACCTTTAATTATGCATTCTTAGCCCTATCAGAACATGTACTTAGATATATATCGAATATAGATCTGTTGAGCTTAAGATACTTATCGATAATGACTGATCATAAATGACTGGAAATGATGATCTTCTGATTGATGACTGACTGACTGACTGATTTGATCATGACTGAGATTCGAGATTGATTTGTGACTGAGTGAACGTGTGCTGTATATATGTATATATAGTATCGCCTGCTTCTCCATTAGGCTCCCAGCTTCCTGTTACTTACCCACATGCTCGTGATCACCGCCCTTGGTTTTCAGGCGCTGAAAATACCGCTCCAAAATGGTGCGATCGATCACATGTAAATAATATGAAACCGGCTTGCAGGTCCACGAGACGGAGCCCTTCAGCGGCGGTATTTCGCTCACATGCATAATGGTGCCAATATCAGAAAGGTTTCTGTAATCAAGATGAAATCGTTTTCAATTAAATTGGAAAATAATACATTTGAATATAACGACTCACCGATCTGTGATCCGAAAGTTGAGTGGGCAGAACGATTTGGATGAAACAACTCGAGCGCCATCTCGCAAATCGGCAAATCGCTCCTTTAGCTGATGATCCACGGTCGGACCGAAGGCAAAGTTATTGACAAACACCAATGTAGAGGAGGTGATTTTCTCGCGATGCTCATCGACCAGAAAATCGCCCTTGATCAGTTTGTACTCGCAGTAGCGTTTGCCAAACCATCCCATATACTGGCGGAATATCTGATCCATGCGTTCGGCATAGCGAGCGGGCGTATCCGCCTTCTCGATACCAATGCATGTTTTAAGCGGAAACGATCCGGCCATTTGTAGTACCACCTGTCCCACACCGGAACCGAGATCAATGAACGTGTCCTCCTTGCTAACGGTGACATGCTTGAGCATTTGCTGTACCAGCTCGTACGATGTCTCGCCATAGACCTCCGGCGAAAAGGGCTCGTACTGATTAAGCTTGTCCGGATCGAGCACGGCAGCATTGTAAACTAATTGCAGTATGTGTCTTAAAAGGCTAGGGTGAGCGAATTTATTCAAACGCTCGGCGGGCAGTGAAGTTCCTTTTTCCTGTAAATATCAGAGCAAATAATTAGTTTATATTTCATGGGCTGATAACGTAGGGGTTCTCTAATGGAAGCTGTTTTAATGATCTAAAATACTGTCGTAGCTCGAAAATGAGAGGTACTTAGAAATTGTATTCGAAATTGATGTTAATATATATTTATATTTATTTTAATTTTGATTTTTTTTTTTTAAATTTTTTAAATAGAAAAAATGTTTTTTTATTTTTTGCTTTACGTTTACGAAACTCTCTTCATATTTCTTTATAGTATGTATGTAGGGACAAATATCATAGCTATCTGCATAAGGAAATGTGGGGTAACTGAATGTACTTACCAATGCAACAATACTGTCGACAGCTTTGTTGAAGCGATCGACAAGATTTGTCATAGTCTTATAGCAGGCAGTGTCAATGTGATTGAGGTTGATCTCCTCGAATGCGGATGAAATGGATGGCAGCTCATCGCATACGAATTTAATTGTATCGATAATGTCGATGCCATTGTCATGCTTATCCTGTCCATGTCCCACCTGCAGTGGCCAGGCAAATGTGATGGTATCGGAGGAGCCAGCTGGCGAGCGCAACACCAAGTCTTTGACTTGAGGTGTTGCCATATTTTTCCCTTGCCAGCTGTGCGGCAAAAGGTCAATGGGATTCGAAACACCAAAACAACGTCACGTTGTTGTTTTATGCTTCGCAATTGGTCTTCTAATTGTTGTTATTGTTATAGATGTATGTTGTATATTGTATATATTGCTGATCAAATTATTTGAGTTGCTTGCAGTGTTGTTGTATAATGAGCATGAGCGTTCATATATCATGTGCTATATATGCATAATGAATATATTGATGCTGATGCTGATGCTGATTTTGATGTTGATGTTGATGTGGATGCTGATGTCGATGCTAATGATAATTATGATGATGATCAATAACGTTGGCAGAGGAGCAGTGTTGAGGCGTTACGCGTTACGTTACGTTACGTTTCGGTTTGTTTAACTTAAGGGTTTGCGTTACAATTACGATGACGATGATAGATTGGTTGTTTGTTTGTTTCTTTGTCGTCTTAGGAACAGTGGCAGCGTTGGGTTAATTATGTTAACGTCTATATTGGGCTAAATTAAAAACAAAACAAAAAGAAGAAGAAGAAACTATCCTCTACTTGATTCTGTGTGCGTGACGCTATGTTACGTTACGGCCGTTACGTTATGGCTGCTACAATCTCTGCTGCTTCTGCTGCTGCTGCTGCTGCTGCTGCCGCTCCCACCCACAAATTTGTCTCGCTCCGTCTTCTCTGCCTCCTCGACGTCGTCGTCTTCCTCCAGCAGCAGTGGCAGCCAATGGAACAGCAACAAAATACAAAAGTAACTGATGATAGTTGCGTAATTTAATATTTTGCTGTATGTTAAGAAAACGATGCATTTTCCTCAATGTGTGACAACATTTTCGACTATCATATGTCGAAGCTAGTGTTGTTTTTGTTGTGGTTGTTTTTGTTTTTGTTGTTGCTGTTGCTGTTTCTCTTGCTCTTGCATTAGTTTCCTTTCATCGACTTGCATTCCAGCAATTGCATTTCATTTCATTGCGTTGCTCGGAACGCGCGCTCTGCCTATGAACGTTACGCATGATGCGCGCACGTCGTTCAGTGTTGCAAAACGTCGTATGTATGTGTAGAAGTCAGATAAGTTTCTTTACAAAATATTTATTATATTTCTGTTTGTTTGTTTGTTTGTTTTGGGTCTGCAAGAAGAAAGAGAAGAAACAGAGAAATGGTAGAACATAAATAAATAAGGCTGGAAAATGCTTTAAAAATAAAACAATCAACACAAAATGTTTATAACGCAGATTTCACCATTTTCAATGGGCTTAAATTATAAATTAAGATGTTAAAAACGAAATTGTGAGATACTGATAATGAGCGTGCTTTTTGCTAATGTTAGTTTAAAGTAGAAGCGGTTTTTGATGAAGGAATACGTAATTATTTATAATTATTATTAAATGAGTGCGCATTAATGTGTGAAACGAAGTAACGCACTAAGTTATTTAACACTATAAATTTAAAACTATATAACTAATTTAATCAGTTAGTAAATATCAGCGGTTTAATCAGTATATTCATAGCCTATGCATTACCAGAGTTTTGTAGAGTCAAATAAACTAATCAGAACAACACTTATAATTTCATATACTTAGTTTAAATTATAGAATCAAATATTCAATAATATTATATACATTCAAATTTAGTTTAAGATATATTTTTAATTCAACCTCCATTATAATGGATAAAATGTCTCGGCACTTATTTTCAGTTGAGCGGAAGACAAATTGTAAAAGTCTATGGGTTTATTTTAAATATATATTCATATATATATATTCATAAATTCATATACAAATAAATATTTAATTCCTTTGAATACAAGGCTGAAGTGAATGAAGCAAATGTGAATTTGATGCCCAAATTTTTGCCACATTTTTCTCATGCAGCTCCCTAAAAGCTTTTCTTGTCCAGACTTAATGTTAGTTATTTAGCAATTCTTTGTATTTCTAATGCTCATTTATAAATCAACGCACGTTCCAAAATCTTCTTCAATTTTATTCTTTTTTTTTTCCTTTTTTTTCTCTTGCATAAAATTTTATTTCCGTACGCATTTGCTGCTTCGTGAGTGGGCGTGTGGGCGTGTCCCCCAGGACGACAATGGGACTTCATTAGCATAGCCAGAAATGTCGACAACAGCCAAAGTTATTTTAATTCCCGCCTCTAGAGGAGGGAATGCTGGGCGAATGCTTCAGAAAATCAATAACAACCCCAAAGCCGTTTCCATTTGGGGAATGAAAATGGGGCTTAATTAAAGCTTTTGGGCATTGGCAACATTTTTAAAGCACCTCGCCTGGACGTTCAAACATTTAGCCGCTCTAGCGCCATATTAAAGTGTACACATATTTGCATATATCCACAAAAAAAAAAAAAAATTTATATACGTATATGGATAGACTATGCTGAAACCCACACCAATCCTGTCTGGCAACTATTCTGATAAACACACACACAGACGCACACACAGACACACACACACATGAAGCATACACGTTTATGCAGATATACATATACATAAATTCCGCTATGTATATACAATATTTGCTATGCATCCACGTGTGCCGTTTGTTTTGCATCTGTATGCGAATTCCGTGCGAATGCCTCTCCATCAGTAGATGTAGCTATAGCTATAGCTGTATCTGTATCTGTATCTGTATCTGTATCTGTATCTGTATCTGTATCTGTATATGGTGGTACGACAGCTCGCCAACAGACAACAACTGCGCTGTATTTGCCCGTCCCCTGTATCGATCCTACCACTTATCCTGTCCGGGCGGTTAACCTCACTGTGGCCAGAGACCCTTGTCTCTCCAGACATGTCTGCAGTGTGTGTGTGTGTGCGTGTATATATGTGTGTGTGTGTGTGTGCGTATGCCCGTTACTTGAGCTTAATGGCATAGCCACTTTGGCATCCGCCGGGTCAGACACAATAGCTATTTAACTGCATTAATTTAATCAATAATAACAATTTATTTCTTGTAGTTCGTTTGCTCAATTATTTTGATAATAATGCGATTGGAAAACCTAATGGCTCAGAAAGAATTACATGTCTCTGTGCAGCATAACTATAATCATGTATAATTCCACTCAGGTGCAACCGATTTTAAGCCTGTTCAAATGCAACTAGAAACTGTCGAAATTTCCTTTGATTAGTTACATTTCAGCTTTAGTTTGGCTGGCAGCAGAATGTAAGTCTAATTCCAACCATAATTAGCAATGACATAGCAGCTCTAGTTCATTAACAGAAATTTGTATGCTTCGCATGCTCTTGTCAAAGCAAATCTTTGTATAATTATATAAATTAGTCATAATCAAATTCTCATATATTTTGTTTCAGCATTTACTGCTGTCTGTATTAAATCACTTTAAGCATGGGCTGGCATTGAATAGATGTCGAATGTTGGGCACATAATCATTTACAAATATGGCCAATAGGACATATATTAGCTATATATATATTCAAGTCTGTGTTATCAGTGTGTGCTAGAATAGTACCTTTTTATGACCATATTAAATTTTATAATTTTTGTAGATAATCACAATAACTTTGTAAATAAAAAAGTAAATAAATTATAAAGAAAAATAACTCAATTAAATGTTTTCCTTTTACTTTTTCAGTTACCAAGCTAGGAATTCGAAATATTAGTTATTTATACTAAGCAAGGGTATCCGTGTATATCGATCAAAGTCTAAATAAATAATCTCTTTTTCTATTGGTTATCAGTTATTTGTACTATATATTCAGGGTCAATGTGTACATCGATCAACATTTAAATAAACAACCTTTTCTTGCCCATTACATTAAGTTATTTACACTATATAGTCAGGGTATCTATCTAGTTTAATGCAGTTGAACAAACTTTCTTAATTGTTGGGCATGACTGTGAAGGCGTGACACACATTTCAATTCCATGCCTACTCATTCGCACACACACACTCATATACTCACACACCCATACACGCACGCTAGTTGACACAATTACAGAGCGCAGGAACTTTGCCGCGCTTTTAATCAACTTAAAAAGCTCTCACAGTCCATGCCATTCCATACTATTACACTCGCTCAGAACAACAACCGCCCCACCCCTCACCCAACCGCTCTGCTTGATAACTCTACGGGGAGAGTACTTTTGCATGCAATATGTCTGGGTGGCTGACACATGCGAGCAGCGCTGCCAACGCCCACGCGAGCAACTTATTTTCCCCTTCTTCTTCTTGCAGCTGTTGTTATTGTTGCTGTTGCTGTTGCTGTCGGCTCTTGCCCTGTTTTTGTTTTACGACTTTTGCCTGCCACGCAGTCTGTGTCTGTGTTGTGTTCTGTTTGTTGATATCGCAACTGAAACAACAATAAAAATAAATCGCATATAAAATGCGAGCAAAAAATCAACTAAAACTAAACGGAATTAAAATTTCAGATGCTTGCGCCCATTTCTCTCTCTATTTCGCGCTCTCTCTCTCTCTCTCCAACTCTCCTTGCTGTTTTGCTATTTTTATGAGCAACTTTTATTAATATGATTGGCCATTCTGATTGCTCATTTTTAGCCGCTGTGGGTCAAGGTCATTGTGACAAATATATAATTAGATACAGCAAAACTGTCTGTTGCCACAAGGCAAGCGAACAAATAATGCATAAATTGTGATGCGTGTGTGTGTGTGTGTAAGTTTGCATCTGTCAGCTGAAATGTCTATTAAATGCCGTTACAACAAACAGTTTTTGTGTTCGCACGCCCACTTAGGACCTATATAACACACGCTGCCCACTTGTTGGTCGACCGTAATTACATTATTTCATCGTTGGCTACGAATATAATTTTCATTTTATTATTTAGTTCTACACACATTTGCATACATACATGCCCACACACATACATATGTTGTATATATATATATGTATATACAACAATATATTCATGGTCACGTGTTTGTTGTGATAGCATGACTGAAGGTTAAATTAGTTTACGCTTTGATTTCGCGTTAATTTGTTTGACTTTTATTGCTGTTGTTTCTTCTTGTCGGCTCTAATTGTTGTTCTGCTTCTAATTGTTACACACAAAAAAAAAATAAAATAAATACTTTAACTATACGTATTTCTGTTTAGGTTATTCGCGCAAGGTCTTTCCTTTTGGGGTCAAACATTCCGTAAATAAATACTTGCCTTAGGAGAAGAGAACAAAATATTTACAACAACAATAGAAAATGAATTCTTGCTAATGAAACAATTGCCTTTTTCTGTTTTCTTTTTATTAAGGAATTCCCATGAAATGTTTGTAAAAATATGCATGGAATTATTAAGAAGTAAAAAAAAAAAACAAAAAACAAAAAAACAGCTGCAAACTGAGCTTTCCAAAGATTTGATTTATTTTCGTGTTTTGCAAAAATATATAAATATAATTTAATGTATGCATTTATGTATATGCATGTGATTGTGAGAGTGCATGTGTGCATGTATATATTCCTGGCATTAAGAAGAAAATTGTGTAAAGCTTCAGTCACATTGTTTTCTTGTTATTGTTGCAACTATGTGGCATTCCGTGTTATCATTGAGGTCATGCGCTCAATATTGATAATCAATAATGGGCGCATAAACATGCACACATACGTGCATATGTGTGTGTTGTCTGTGTGCTCAGACTTAACGCATTTTCTGAATAATGAACCAATGAGCAAGAGCATTGATTATTTCTTACAGATAAGAGATTTTAAAGAGAATATATATATTTATAATTTATTTAAAATATAAAAAATGGAAAATCAGGGTATAATAGTCTTGCTTTCTTAGCTATCTGAAATTGCTATACAGATTTGCTTGGCTTGTTCCATATTAAACTGTTACACTTCCTCTATAAAGCAGTGAGAATTTAAGGCCGTCAAATGTTTGAGGCGGACTCTAATCAGAATCGCTCAACAAACAAAAACTCTGATAAGATAAGAATTTGACCTAGTTACGCTTGAAAGCTTTAGATATGTATACGTACATAGATTCAAATATATACAAGAAAAATAAAAATAAATAAATATAACAAAAACTAAAACATATGTCTGCCAACCACAATTGGAAGTTGTATTTATTATTTTTTTTATTTAATTTCGAACAGCTTGCAACAAGTCAAACACCTGCGCCGCTGATCGCAAGAAAGAAAGAGAG